CGTGCCAAACAAATCGTTATTACTGTGAAACACATATGCGCCAAGTAGCTGTCGCTATCTTTCGCAAGTTAATTATTAATAAACGGCGCATTACTTCGCGTTGAATCGCTCGATTCCGCGCTCTCGGTCGGAAAGTGATAGATGAAAAATTTCAACCGATGTGAAATATATCCGAGTTCGAGGACATAATCGTATTATTGTAAATATTACAAGACGGTGATTTATCATTTCTATCTCGATTTGATTCTTACTCCAAAAGAATAGATTGCGTAAAATATTTGTTTCGACAAATAATAAAACGGCCATCGTCTAATTATAAATTGTTATTAAAGTTACCATTTTAAAGGATAAAATTTCAGTCGAAAAAATATACAAATTAATTTATTGTATTATTACTTTCTACCAAAAACCCGTTATGTTTCTGGAAGAATAAAATTCTGTGATTTCACTAAAACATGAGCGACAATTTTCAAACATTAAGAAAATTAAATTAAATTGTCGCACAGGATGTAGCGACTCATTTTTTTCCTTGAATTATTAAAATCGCACAATTCCGCTTATCTGCGAACGCGAAAATTTAGTAACGGAATAATAATAACGAATTAAATATTCTCGTGTTTCTGACAAAACGAAGGTAAATTGCATTTTTGAAATTCTCCGATTTAACATTAAATTTAATAATTATTTTCAAGTGGAGAAATTAATAAATTTCTTAAATTGATATTCAGAGAAAAACTTAAGCAACATGTAAAAATGTGCTTAAATTCATGTTATTACCTAATCACTTTAGCGCGCACGCATCTGCGTATAAAAAGTTAAAATAAAAAAATCTGCTTTTGGGCAATGAAAGTCAATCACGTGGAAACTGATAACAGATCACCAATGCGTGTAAGCGCAGAAGTTGTACGCGCAAAGTTTGCGCGATACTATTGGCCAGCTTTAATCGTTTGACGATTTCGAACTTCCATATTAAGTTTTCTCTTCTGGAAATTTCAACAATCTTTGGAATACGCTGTACGGTTAAGTGTACAGGCGGTCCGTACATTTGAACGTCAAAAATCACCAACGACATCGTATTGATTGCGCACGAGTATAAAAAGGATCCCTCTCGATTCGTTCTAATAGAGTCCGCTCTACTAACGAGATCTCGGCCCTCGATCAAAGATGGTCCCGTCTCTATGAACACAAAATGGCCACATCGCGGCCGACGTCACGCACCGCTACGCGTGTGCTCACACCCACTTCCTTTTTACGCCACTCCCTGACCCGGGCCCGCGTCAGGCCTCGAGGAACGGATAATCTATGACCGGGATCGCCGGAAAAATCGAGGAACCAATCGGCGATAGGGTGCGAAAAAATCCGAGGGAGTAAGCGTGATCGCGCCGGCCGAGCAGTCGACCAATAGTGTGATCAGATGTGAACAAAGGACCCGATAAAATTTATAATTACCGCCGCTTAATCGGAGGACCGTCAGAATACTTGGCCGCGGCGCTAAATCAAATAGCGATATAATTATTTACAGCGCGGCGTTAAAAATAATCGGGCGTAGACGTCGCTTTACCGACCATTGTATTCCCTCCCAAGTTATTCAGCAATTATCGATCATCTCCGATATTGATTAGCGCCGCTGTGAAAATTTATTTAGCCAACGAAAACAAGATTATTTGCAAATTTACGAATAATTTCAAAGCGCACGTACGCTTTCAATTCTCCAATGAAAAATGATGAAATTAAAAGTCTCGCCCCTTTTTACATTCGCCTCGCATTTCAGTACAATCGAGATACGTTTTGAGGCTGCAGAAGCAAAGAGCGCGCGCAGAACCTATGGCGGCGGAATCTCCATATTTCTGAAGATCCCGGCGTAACGCAGAAAATCGGCGGCTCTGGCAGACGTACACAGAGTCTCTTAGTGGGACTAGGAAGTATGGAATTGGGAATAGTAGCAAGAATGGCGTGCAGCAAACAGCGCGCGTATAGGCTCGCGAGGAGAGAGATGAATCTGGTCACGGCGGATCATAAAGTCCCTCGGGGATTCGCCCACGCCGCGTCCACTCTCTCGGGGTCGGAGAGAATAAGCTGGAGGAATGAGGAGAGAGCAAAAGAGAGAGAGAGAGAGAGAGGAGAGAGCGGGAAAGATAGGGAAAGAGAAAGAGAAGGGGAGCGACCGTGGCGAACGGGATGGAGAAGAAGGGAAAGAGCGTCGGAGAAGTCGAGGCACTCGCGGCGCAAAAAGCGAGGATGCAGGCAAAAAAGGAAGAGCGCGACGAAGAAACCGGTTTTTTCCAGTTGGGCCAGGTCGGGGCGTCGAACCTAGGGACCGCAGCCTCCCTCCGAGAATAACTTACATGCAGCGGCGGCGGCGGCGGTGGCGGCGGCGGCGGCGGCGGCGGCGGCACGGCCAGCGACGCCGTCCTCGTCGCCGTCCTCTCAACGCGCTCGCGGCTGCCCCAGGTTCGGGATAAAAAAGGAAATAGAAGGCATAAGTATGCCGGCGGTCGGCCACCCACTCTCAAGTTTATCGTGGGACAAGAGTGGAGCCGAGCCAAGCGAGAGGAAACACGCGCGCGAACACGCGTGTACGCAACGGTGAAACGGAGCCGGGGAGGAAAACCGGAAGGAGGAAACCGAAATGGATGCGACGGGGCGATTATCGTCCGATTGGTATCCCTCCCTCTTCGCCTTCGGCTTCTCTAGCGTGGCATGCCGTCCCGCTTGTTTACGAGCGGGAAGACTCGGCAGAAAATCAGGATTGCGCCGGCATCTGGCACATCGTTAAAAATGTCGAGGAAAGGAGGAAGTACGAAGAGAGGCTTTAGACGAGCGTGTATGTACTTATAAAGAAGATACGTCTCTCCTTCTCGGCACGGCCGGGAAGAAGTCTATAAAGGCGAGTGCGCAAAAATAAAATCCGCGTTTGAGATGCGAAAAGCGGAGAATCGTGACAATAATAGAGAGGAGACGGGAGGCGCGTGAGAAAAAGGCGGCGATCCCTAAAAAGAAAAAAAAAATTTCGAAGTCATTGCCGTCAGAACTTGTTTTAGCCTTGTCCCGCTCCGTGTCCGTTGCCTCAACGCGTTCGCGATTGTCCCAGGTCAGGAATAAAAAGAGAGACGGAGAAAGATCCAGGGCGTGAGGTATGTGGGAGGGAGCGAGGGGAGAGGCGAAAAAGTATGGGCAAAAGGAGGAGAAAAAGTCGCGAATCGGAGAAGCAAGAACAGGAAGGAAGAGAGGAATGGGGGGGGGGGGCACCCCGAAACCCTTTGGGGTCATTGCCGTCCGGTCTCGTTTTAGCCCGTTCCTGCCCGTTCACAACCTTCTCCTTCTTTCGCGACTTTTTCCTTTTCTTTTTCTCCACTGCCGTTTTAAGCACTCTTTCGAGCGAGGTACGGCCGCCGCCATGTTTTTCCTCGAGCTCGCGTACACCTACCGCCTTGTATGCGTGCGAGCAACCTTCGCGTGTTCGGATAGAAAAAGAGGAAAAGAAAGAAGAGAGACGAACTGCGATAAAAGGGGGGGGGGGGACGCAACGGAGAGGATAAAAAATATGACACACGAGGATAATGCGATCGGTGCGAATCGGTACCTTGCCGCGTGACGAGCCAGAGAATGAAGGGGGAGGGGAAAGAGTCATTCTATCTGGCATCGAGGACGTCGAATTTCACCTACAATTTCATTTTAATCCTAATTTTAATATGGCCGCTGGTAGCACAGCAAGGTAAAATAAATCGCCCGATAGATCTTGTTTAACGTTAAGACGCGCAAAGCGGAGAAAAGAATAGGGAGGAATGCAGATGCGAGCCGAAGATGTGCTAGCAGCGACCATGGTAGTTAAAACTGATGTATGGTACAAGCTAGTCATTCCATGCTTCGCATTCCCGTTCATGGGTGAGGTCGCACGGGGTCGATCGGAGGGTCCAAGGTCGATGAAAGTGCCCGCTTTGTTTTCGCAACGCAACGTCTGGCATCGGCCTTTAGGTTTCGTACATGCATACGCGAGCCGAGGCCGATGCCGGCAGCATTAGTCGATGAAATCCCTGATCGCGGTTAAGGATTAATCCGCTCCGATCGTTCGCCGGACCCCACGCTTCCACATATTTGTCTGTCTAGGCTTCGCTTCAAGTTCTCCGATCATTGTAACCTCACGTTCCCCGTCCTACATCCGTACCGAGTGCTCTGATCTGGTGTTAAAGACAACGTTTTTGATCGGTCAAGACTCTTCCTACATCTCTACCTTTGCATTCGCATCAGGAAATACCGAGGCAAAACTAGAATCAGTAACGAACGCGTTTGAGAAAAGCATACATGGGCACAGTATTCCTCACAACAGCGATACGTTGGAGATTACCACCGTAATTCCAATAATATCGAGATTTACGCCTCATCCCTATCCCGTAAAGTTCCAAGAGCTAGCTACGATCTTTCCATGTATCTTCGCCGATGATTCACGTGCCGCAATCTAGCCGTTTGCCAAACGTACGGTACAATTCTCATGTAAAGCAGTAAAAGTGAAAAAATGAATTTGTTTCAATCAATCGCAACGTATCACGAGGAGGATAGATTTCAGAAGCAAAGTATTTAAGTATAAAAGATCAAGGGCTTTTCGTTGGACAAGCAGTGAATAAATTGCGGCAGCAAATGGATCATCATTGAGACAAAACATTGATACGCCTAGAGAGAGAAAATTTCGTCTTTTTTTCTGTTTCGTTATCTCGATTCTTTTTCGATCGCACTTGACCGACTGGAAACCCAGCCAGGGCGCGATACCACAAAGTTCCTACCAGACACACTCGACATGAATTCCCTGTGCAAAGGAGTAGTCTGTGGTGGCGGCGGTTTATTGGTGCCTTAACTCTCACTGGTCAATCGTTCTGTTCTGTGCCCTGCCTGTCCTGCGCTTCTGGTTCGCAACTCTGTGGTGGTATTCTCTGGGTCGGCTCTCTACTACCGGTGCGCCGCGTGTGCCTGCTTCCGGTACTTCCTCTTCCGGACCCCCAAAAAAGGAGTTGCAACAGCGTGTTGTGTTCCAGCAACACGCCGCCCTGATCGGCGGCCCGAACGCAACCAGCTGTCCAGTATGCCACAAGCTCTTCCTCGGCGGCGAGGCGTTGATGGAGCACATGAAGCACACCCACAAGGACCCGAACGCCTCCGGAGTTGCCAGTAAGTATTGAAAAATCGCGTATCAACCGCCCTCTCGGCCGGTCGTCTATGTCTCTCTCTCCTTTCAACGCGCGTTGCTTACCATTTCTCTCCGTTCGCGCACCTACTAATCTTCGTTAACCATAACCGATCGATTAACTGGAATCCGGCCGCGTGGTCTCGTAAGCGGAGTGCATCGTTGCATGAAGCGAGCTTGAGAACGAAACCTTGACCGTGTCGTTCCTTACCGACCAATTAACGAACATAACGCCAAATCTTGCTCGCGTTAACTTTCCGGGCGAAAGACCTAACTCTGTTCGCTCTAACCGCATTTCATTCTCAGCCAGAATCCTTAAGCAGGATCGTGAGGGGCTCCTTAAGGGTTCCGAGTTAGAGAAGGAAAGAGAGAGAGAGAGAGAGACCAACATAGACGCGAGAGCGGCGACGTTAATCGTGAGTTAAGACTAAGAGAGAGGTGGAGCAACCGCTCGTCAAGACACGAAGGGTGGTTCGTTCTTTAGCCTTTAAGTACGTTTCGCATCCATCCCAAAAACTTGCTTTGGCGCGGGCGATACGCACACATTGTCCTTGTTCACTTCTTCGTACTGTTTTCGCCTGGGCGGGAAAGGCGTGTAGCATTTGGCACACTCGCCGACTAATACTTGGGTACTTCTCGCTAATACATGTACACGGTGCTTCGAGGGTGTCTCGTTCGACCTCTATGCGTGCCTTGACACATGCGTGCGCGATACGTGTGCGGACTCGCGGACGTACAGAGAACAAAAGTCAACCTACTCTGCTTCTTCGTTCAACTTTCAAGCGAGGAATCGGCGTTTTATTCTTGACTGCGAGTGCCGACACCGGTGGTCTGTCACAGTGATCGACATGGTCGGTATTTGAAATGTGAACGCTAACGGATCGCGCCTATTGCGAGCGCATAACGTTCAGGATATAACGTTATCGTTGTTTTAAAGCGCGAGGACTTAGATCGGAATAAAAAGTCAGCAATTGTTGCCCGAGATGTAACGAACAGCGAGTGCCTTTCGATATGAACGGCCTCCTCGAAGAGTTCTCATCGTTTTTCTCTTTTTATTTTTCTCTGTACGTTCGCATTCGTGCAACGCGCGCGAGTACGTCTGTGTGCATCCTGGCTTTTTGGGCCAGCGACCTTGCTCGTGAAAGGGAGTTAGCAGCGCGGTGGCGACGGCGCCGGCCGACGAGTACTCTGCGTGCCCGAGGTCAGTGCTCTCTCCTGGTCCTTGGCTATCCGCGTCCGTAAGGTCTCCCTTCGCCTTCGAGGTCGACCGGAATCTGTGCGTACGTACGCGCGCGCGTGCACGCGAGTGCGTGAGAAATAAGGTGGGGGAGGAAAAAAGAGCGAAAGAGAGGGAGAGAGAGGGAGAGAGAGAGAGCGAGAGAGCGAGAGAGAGAGAGAGAGAGAGAGAGAGATGTGAGAAAACTTAAGGATGGTGGAGGAGTTGGATGAGGAGGAGGCGGCTTTCGTTCCTTGGGACGCTTTATCCTGCTTGGCATTGACCTTGAAATTGTGTCGCCCTATTGTTCCCTCCGCTGACTGCACAACCTCCGTTGCCGGGGTTTACCTAGCGAAGCGACGGACCGCCAACCACCCGTGCCCAGTGTGCGGGAAGCACTACGTCAACGAGGGTAGCCTTAGGAAGCATCTGGCCTGCCACCCTGAGACCAGTCAGCTTAGCACGAGCCTCAGGATGTGGCCGTGCTCGGTGTGCCAAGCCGTCTTCACTCACGAGAGCGGTAAGTATTTAGCCCACGTAAACGCGAGTCGGCGGGCCGATCGAGGCCCGACGTTAAGCTCGGGGTTCCAAGTTGAAAGTAAACGTGATTCTGTGCTGTAAACTTATGATTTCCGTTCTGTGGAGTATAACGTACGTTTTACACCTAATGACACTTATCGTCCGTATACGCGCGATACCGTACGATTCGTCTTTCCATACTGTGACCACGTTCGTTTTCCTCTGGTGTTAAGGTCTCCTGAGCCACATGGAACACATGAGGATGGACCCGAAGCATCAGTTCGCGGCGCAGTACGTGCTGAGTCGCGCGGCCGCCGAGAGGCGGGAAAGGGAGATTCTCGCGAGTTCGAGTTTAGGTATAACAGACAGGCGTTTACGCTTCTCTAATGTTGATGTTAAGAAATCGTGCGGCGTGCGAGACCGTCGAAACACTGTCAGAAAGTACAACATTGCACGACGCCGATGACCGAGCGGTGCTCTAACTTAACACCCTTACGCTGTACAGGAGCGGGTTTGGGCGTGTTGGGAGGAAGTCAGTCTGGAGGCCCGCAAAATTTGCAACAACCACCGATGTGCCCGTCGCCGTCGGCCCATTCGGATAGCAGTAGCGGCAACGGAAGACTGTCGTCGGCCGGTAGTGAACCTGGTACGCTACGATACTTGTTCTACGTCTACTACTTACAAACGAACGCCCACCAAGTATCTAGATATAATAGATATAATATTGTCGCATTTGCTCGAGCACAGTTTGTAACCCCGCCGTTATTCACCTTTTTTTCTCTGATTTCGTTAATGACATAACTCTGTTGTGAAGTATCATTAGTGAACTTATTGTAGTACACGTAAGCTAGAATATATATGAATATATATGCTTGAGTCGAAATAAAATATTTACCAATTTCTGGTCTGAGTAATAATTCTCTCATGTGAACGGCGCTAACTACGGTCTGCTCTTACGGGCGACTTCCACTTCGGGATGTCGCCCTTTTTTAACGCTTTAGCGTGCCGATTTACATACCGACGCGGAATGACATATGCTACCTAGTTAGGCTAGTAAAATGTGCGTGAAAACCCCCGCCCGTCCGTCGCCCTGTACATACTGACGAGAGCAGATTTTTGCGCAGGCACCGGTCTACTCAACAACAACAACAATAATAACAACAACAATATGGCGTCGCCGGGGCCGAGCGGCAACAAGCTCAGCGAGATACTGCGAACGGGAAGTCAACCGGGCTCGGCGCAGCAATATCACGATGAGATGCAGTCGCAGCAACAACGCATGGCTGTCATGGCCGCCGTGTCAGCGGGTAAGAAAGAATAAATCAACCACGATGTAAGAGATCGTGTTTAAGGATGTACTCACGCTCACGTCCTGACATTGACATTGTCCCTAATTATTATCTCAATATGCGTGCAAAATCTGAAGCCGATTGCCTAGCTCGTTCACGAGTTAACTTTCGACTATGCATAAGTGGCTTACGGAGTGGCAATGAACATATTTACATTCTATATGAAGGAAACTATAAGGGAGCAACAGTATTCTGAAACTTTGTGAGCGAATAAAATACTGAAAGAAAAACCAGTTCATATCGACTCACTATCGAATTGTTAATTAAAAACCAATGCAAAATTCCGAAGTCAATTTCAAATTGAAAAAACTTTTGTCTGGGATTGTATAGCCGGTACATCCTTAACGAGAACTAGTCGTGCCCCGATCTAGCGGATCGATCAAGCGTGCGACGCGAATCTGTGAGAACTGCGTTATCACTTATCAATGTGAAATTGCACGAGAGGGGAAAGCCGATAGCTTCGTTCCAATTATTGCGATAAAACTTGATTTACAATGTTGTTTCTCCACTCAGAACGCGTCCGCGTTGCCCGCTTTTCTCGTGTCTCTTCGACGCGAGCTCGAGCGGACGGATATAAGTGCGATCGACGTGGTCACATTTGTTGCCGAGGGAAACGACGTTCCTACGTCGCAGATTATCGATACCTCGTGTGACATTACCGCAAGTTAATTTAGTAAAATTTATCGCGCGCGCAGCTTCTTTCGCGACGCGCTACGGGCTGTAACCCGTCGAGAACTCGGCAAAGAAACGGCGACGCGAAAAACAAATATCGGAATTCCTTACCGCCATCCCTCTCCTGTCTCTCTTCCCACGATGAAACCGCGGGACGTGTTTGCGAGCAACCCTTCCTGACGCGTGTCCCGCAGACTCCGTGATTCACTCGCGATAGTCCACGTTTCTGTAAACACGCCGTATAAAGTTTCAGATTGCGAAACGAGACGTACGTTAAAATACATCTTGCGTTCTATCGCTATCTAGAAGGGATTCGAAAAGCGGGCTATACTTTTTTATGGGCAAGCTTCACGTCATCTTTCGGCAAGCGAGATGTGAAAGCATTATTTCTGTTAGGATTACAAAATTCCGTATCGCCTAATCTCTCGCCGGTCGACATGGCATCGCTGGCGGCGGCTATGAGAATGGGCAATAACGGTGACATGAGCGGTGGTACTCAAGGCTCGACGGGACCCCAACAGCAGGGAGTGCAAGCGAGCGGACCGGAGCAGGCTCTGAGGATGCATCAGGCGGAAGCTCTGCTTCGTTCCCAAGCCGAGGCTGCCCTGAGACTCGCGGTAAGAACTCAAATTTCCCGCATAGACTTTGATTAGTGACAAAGTTAGAAACTGCACACGACTCGCGTTACATTCACAATCGTCGTCACGAGCATTCGGTATGTTCGTTGTGTGAATTACACAAAAAACCTGGAGAATAAAGACCTTAAAGAACGCGTAAGTTCTGCACCTTGTTCGACGGAAAAAAAAGATTTGACGTAAAAGGAAATGTTTTCTTAGCCCTTTTTCACCCTCCAACCCCTTTTCACGTTTCTGCGCAGGTTTCTCAAGCGGCGGCAGCTGCGGCAAGTTCCGCGGTGGGCAGCGATGTGAGGCATCATTTGGGACAGCATAACGGAGGTAGCACCTCCGGCATGCCGGGACACCATACGAATCAACAAATGTCCCAACAGGATACCTTAACGCCGGATCTCGGTAAGTAACGCGGATCGGCGACGCGCCTATTGTGCGCCCGTGGCGTCCAAGTCTGTACTCGAGACTTGGGCTCGGGTTCTGCGATTTGCGGTGAATGCCTTCTAACGGGACGTCGACACTCGACACCTTTCAGGAGAAGCGCTACGGCTGCAGGAGCAGCGATTAGAGCAGGCCCTCAGGCTTCACGGTGGCGACCCGCGCGCCCTGAGTTTCACTCTGGCTCAGCACGTCGTCAACCAGCAGAGCAATCAGCAACCATGAAAATTCAGTTACTACTGAGACGAGTGGACCCCTTGGGCGTCGGATCAGACGACCCTGCAGCAGAACGAGCGCATGAACCAGCAGCAGTCGCAATCGTCGACGGAGCGTTCGACGCCGTTGCACGATCAGCAGCAACAACAGCAGGGCCCGTCTTCCATCGGTCATCAGCAGCAGCAACAGCAGCCTGAAGACCGTGGCGTCAAGAGGAAAGCCGACGAGATGATCGGTAACTCCGAAAGCGCGTAAGAGCGATTACGCTCGTTGCGGCGGACATGACGGAAACGCGTCATCGTCGCCGCTAACGTAATTCGCCCCTGCGCCCAAGTGCGGTCGCCAGAATTTCACTCACTGTCTCAGCAGTAAGAAAACGTCAAACAAACGGAAGGACTTTGTGAGAAAGAATGTGTACTTCGGTGTCTTCCTATATTCGGATAGAGCCGATATGGGGCCGGACCTCAGCCGGAAATTGATCGGGGGCATCACCCTCGGTTGACGAACTCTCCGGATGGGACCGTGCTTAGACGAAGGGAGAAGAGTGAGAATACGTACGTGTATAGCAAAACCGTTGCACGGCGCGAGGCGGTCAAGATCGCAGTGGCGACGGTCGTCTCTCGCGATTCCCCGCGTCGTTGTTCCTACATCGGTCCTGGATCCACGGATCTGTCCAACGGACTCCGCGACGGCGTTTTCACGCCGTCCTCGTGCCCCCCCGTTAAGATTCTCAGGACACGTCGCCACTGCCATACCGCCGCCTCGACTTCCGATACGTGCCATAATAACTAACGAGAAGCTGCTTAACAAACAAAAAAAAACAACAGTAAGTCATCTCGGGCGTTCCGTTTCGGGATGATCCGGGGTGCGCCCCGAGGTACTATGATCTTTTAGTACAAGAGCCGATCAAGCGGTACGCGGCGGTGCCGAGGGTCCAACGGGCGATCCTCGACCGTCCCGTGCTAGCCAGGCTCAACAAACCTAAACTATATATAAATATTATACATAGATACGTCTATCTCCACCGAACCGCGCTTAAAAGGTTCCACCCCCCAAACCCCCTAAAATCGTAAAAAGGTCCCGTAATGCTTAAAGAGCGAATCGCACACCAATAACACCCACGTACGCAGGCTCATCATGACGTGTGCGTCGCGCGGTCGTGACGAACGTTTCACCACCAACGAGTGGTGTCGTGTCGTCGCGTTGTACGGTTGTTAATTATATACGTACCGAAATCCCCTTCCCCGTGTGTGCGTGTGTGCGTGAGACAGACGAAGGCGACGCAATCCGCACGGACGTTCTCTCGGTTGCGATCAACGTTTCGCGCGACGACGACAAAGCGACGTTGACATTTCGCGCACGAGAAACGAACGTTGTCGGACGTAACGCGTCGCAACAGATACGTCCGCGCACACACGAGAGCACATACACGTAAATACATTACACATACATTACACATATGTACACATGTACAATACATATATTACAAAACTCATCAGCAGCACACTTTTAAGGTGAAGATATAAATGCGCGCAACTTGTGCTCGTCGGTAGCACGAAAACTATTAGTTCATAAGCGAACAAACAAAATATAGTTATTACAAACAGTTATATTATATATATTATATATACATACAGAGTATGAAGAGTATGACAGAGACAAAAAAAAACGGGCGAAACCCATTCACACTTACACGTTTAACTGAAGGTGCGGTAAGCGTGAAAGAGCGAGCATTTTTCGTGAGCAAAGCACGCGACGGAGAAGAGAGAAATAAAAAACTAAATGCTAAATATTATATATATTATATATATAAATATTATAAATAATGAATATAGGGTCTATGAGACTAGGATAGTTAGGCGAAAGGGAAATACGAGTGAATGCGGAGCGCGCGCCCCCGTAAGTTTTACGCGGTCCCAAGCATTGTCGATGCGAGAATGCGACAGCACAGGCCGAGAACGGGGTGGAGGTGGGCATGTGCGAGAGCCTGAGAGGGAGAGAACGTGCGTATACGTGATTTTGCGAATGAACGACCTTGGGATCGGCGTAGCCGCGCGGGCGCGCCGTCGAGCGATTGGGCTGATCGAGTAAACGTGAGTGCTTCGTGAGCATCAAGGAGGAGCGAATGCGAAGACGAGAGTGAGATTTTAGAATGGCGTGCTTCAGGTAATCTGAGGTCCTGTGATCGTTATAAGCGAAATATTTTTTTATTTCCGGGTAATATAATCTGAAACGCGTAAAACTCTTGCGTCGTTTTGAACTTTTACTTGCAATATACCGTTACGTTCTCGCAATACTTAGGATGAAGAAGAATAAGACGAAGACGAATAGGAAATAAAGAAGGTGGATGAACAAAAAAAAACAAACAAAAGAACAAAAAGATGATACGAAGATGAGGATGACGAGGGAGAGGAAGAATATGGAAAGATAAGTCCGTAGGTTTGATCGTGGAGCGAACTTTTAGAGACTCGACCCAGACCCTTACCTCGCCGAAATACCCTTTTTCACGACGTCCCACCAATTCGAATCTCCAAAGCCGACCAAATGTCCCGTCGTCCCGTTCATCTCTCCGAATCTTTGGCTAAGCTTATCGGGATCGGTCCACACTGACGATGGAGTTATCTTCCGACGCGACCAGACGCGACGAAGGCGCGACCGTAAAACACATCGGAGAGAATCACGTTTAACGTTTCATTGGGAATAATTTTCTCCGGGGCACGAAAATGCGAATCCCCAAGAGGGTGTAAAAACCGACGGTGATTTCGAGAGGCGGGCGAGAAGAAATAATGAGGAAAAAGCCATTTCACCTACCACGCGATTTGATTCCTTCGTTTCTTCGACCGGCAATCGCGGACCAATATATGAGTGCGGAATTGAATGGGTAGCGTGCAGAATTGGTTCACATCTTTCGATATCGACGTCGACCGCGTTACTGCTGTTGTTTCCTTTCGGAGACACTTGACGGGCTTATTTTTGAAAATCACCCCCGGGCCCCTACGATCCTCGCTTTCCATCCGAAAGTTCTCCCTTCGCCTCGACTCCAGAATGTCCGAAACTTTCCGAGTGCCGTCAAATAAAATTTCGCCTACGAATGTAATTGACAAAAGCTTTTCTCTCGCTACGTTTGGAAATCATGTTTTCCGGGAAACGAACTGTGGAGAAGAAATTCTAGCAGAAAAATTTTCATCATGTACTTCTTCCCATCATTCACGTCCATTTGTTCGCCAATTGCGAAAATAACCTAACGTCGTCATCTTCGTTGAACGTAAAAGACACGCGCCGAGAAGCCGCCGGATAGCCAGGCTTTTTGACCATCTGGGACGAGAGATGAAAAGATCACTAAAGGATTCATCGTCAAAGCTACATTTAACAGTCGCACTCGTCTCGCGATCGGAACTCGACGGATACATCTGGCACGTTCCTTTCGAAAAATTTTGCAAAAATTCCCCCCACGAAGACACTCCCATTGGGAACGATTTCTCGCGAAACGGAAAATTCGGGAAACCCACGGTCTTGGAATTTATTTTCACCTTTGCGGGAAGGGAAAAGGAAACAGGCGGGTCACCTCGAGTTCCGGCGATCGCAACCGCGGGTCGATTCATTGATCGTTATTATTAAAGTTTTTGCGTTACAGGGCGTTTTTTCCTCGGATTAAGTAGTATGTAAATACACCTTGATATCACAAGCATTAACTGAGAATTTACTGGTAAACTTAAACGAACGTACATAATGCGAAATAGGGTTAGTTTCTATGTAAATACCTAAAGCTGGACGAGTGCATACACCTCGTTCACGCAACCAACAATAATCGTTTCTTATCGAACCAGAGCTTCTGTTCGTTGTCGGCGCGTGCCCGAGATGATCGGCGATCGCTTCCGCCACCCTGCCCTGCCCTCGCCCCGCCGCCCCGAGGGGTGGATTCTACATCTTCGAGGAGGGGGTCGCGTGCGGGAACGTTCGCTGTCTCTCGGGTATCGCCGATCGGGAAATTCTTTTTTCTTTTCTCGACACTGATACACTTACACACAGACACACTTACACTACACGGCATTGCGATGGATTGTACAGCTACGATAGGAAAACACCTAATATCTAAAACACAATCGTCGCACATTTCGACGCCCACCTAACACCGTAGGGATCGATCTTTCGGAAAATTTCCATCGACAAAAAAGAAAAATGGAAAAATTATTTGTTCGGACGACAAAGATCGCGGACAATGAAACGTACGATAGGTAGCGTAGCAAAAGTTTGTAGCGCTTCTGTGCGAAAGTTGCGAGCGTGCTGCATAAAACCGAGAATGAAAGAGAGACTCGAGAAAATCTGGGGGAGAGCGTGCATGGAAATTCGATAGGGTTTGGAAATCCGTTTAGCGAAGGAATGCCAGTCAATATCGGCGAGTTTGAGAATGGACGTTGGAACGAATGGACAGAATTTAGTTAGGCTGTTAGCACGTGTCGCGCGGCCGAAGCGCGGAGAGCAAATTCTCGTCGGAGTTCGCGAGTCATTGACTAGAGCGATATTCCGAAGCGAATCGTAATTTCATTTCACGGTCCTTAATCGAGCGTCGAGAGATATCGAGAACGGTGCACGAAACGGGTAGTAGGAGCGCGAAAAAAGAGCGAAGTAAGAAACGGAAGGATGGAAAGGTCAGCATTACTAGTTACCACCATCTCACTATCACCATCACAAAGAAATTTTAATGAAACAACGACATACAAAAAAAACACTACCATCACCACTAACGTCGGGATCCTTCGTGACGATCGCGGTCGCGAAGCGATCGACCGACGACTGTTTTCGACCGGTGCATCCTGCCGCGCGCCGAGGGTTGTTGCCTTTTCGCGCGGTAAAAGCGTAGGACACGACGATCGGCGGGGGCGGCTCCCGAGCTACCCCCGCGACCGCAATTAAGTCACACTTACCCGCGCGAGAAGGATGAATTCCCGAGGCGCCGGCCCGTGCCCCGCGAACGTGTACCATAATTTTAAATTTAAACGAAAGATAATGCAAAAAAAGAAACACACACACAAGCGCGTTAAACAATAGATCTAGTAGTGTATGTTCTGTAATCAACTGACAAGTAAGCGAGGATAAAGATAACGAAAAAGTAATAATAAAAAAAATGCGGGTCACACCGCGAAAAAAAGCACAAAAAAATAATTTACAAATATATTGATTTACATATGCCCGTAACTCGTAAGGGGGCCGGTGGCGCAAACGCGCCCGCGTGAGATTTTCGGGCCCTACGACGACGAAGGAGGAAGAGGAAACGGCGGGACGTACACGGCGTCCGCGAGCCGCGACGCAGGACGAGCTCGCGGTCATAAAGCGGAAGCGGATAACGCGCGAAGGACCGTGGAAAATCTAGAGGGACGGTTGGGTCGTCCGTATTCGTCGCGAGAGAGGCGGCGAGCCGCGTAAAGACGAGACGAGGTAGAGGAGGAAAAGCGGCTGAGCAGCGACGAGATACAAGAGGAGAGGCTCACGAGCGCCTAACGACGGGAGAATCCGGCAAGGAAAGCCCCGAGGCGTCACGGACGACCCGAAGATACAAGCGCCCGACCGTAGCCCACTCGTGGAAACACGACCAGTAAGGTAGTCGAAAAGTGGCCCATAATGATAATAAATAAATGAATATATATACGAAAAGGTATATATATGACGAAGAGAAAATCCACGGCGTGACGTCGCCTGCAAAATCGGCCCTACCCATAATCTTAATCTCTTTCATGTAAATTTGCTAAATGTTTAAATAATCTAAAAAGTGCCATAGCCCGGATGCGCTGGTGCATACTCCCAGCGCATACACACTTACAAATACGACTCGACCTTCACGAATCAAAGGAAAAATCCGCGGACACGCGCGCGCGAAGGCGCGCGCGGCCGCGGTAGAATTGGTATTCTCGCCAAGGAACAAGTACAACGTAACAACAGTGACAGAAACCAACGCAAACAGATCACCCCAGACGACCGCGTGTCCCGCGGTCCCAACGAGACACACAAGTTTAAAGCAAAGTTGCCCTGGTCCACGAGCGTGCAACCCCGCGCGCTCAAACAGCTCTCAATACACGAGCGCGCGTGCCATGCGTGCGTGCGTGCGCGCGCGCGCTCACATGCATGATACACAAGTGCAAGTACACAATTTTACACTTGTTATACACTTGAAGCACACTTCTCCACACTTAACTACACACGCTACGGATATGTAAAGCCAATTGTTTTTGTAAATTTCCTAAAAAAAATCAACTTTTTGAAAAGACACGATTCGGCCCTGTGATGAACATTATATTTTCGCGCGCGTCATGCAGGAAACGCCGATCCGCCTAGGAAAAGTCCCCGGCTTCTCTCTCTCTCTCTCCGAAGAGACGGAGGAAAGTTGGGCCTGCTTTCCAGACGGAGACGCGTCTCCTCGGACGCCGTTGGAAAACGTTGATCAATTTTTCACGGTAATTTGAGAGGAAAGAGCAAAATTCATGGACGATTGTAACAGCACACGCGTTTGTGCGAGTAGTGCTACGTAATATGTGTAAACGCAGCAAAATTTCGCGGCCTTTTGGCATACGTTTGGATGCAGTACCGATGATGAACGGCGCGTGCACACCCGCGAGATTCACGCGCGAGTGCGCACGCCCAAAACACGTCCCGGACTTGACACAAAGAGTATCCCGGATGTAACGTGTCTTTGTCGGGCTAAGTTCCGACGATGGACAGGTGGCGAGGTGCCAGAGAATTTCGCCAATGAGAGTGGATGAGAAGTGAAAGAGAGTGAGAAAAAGATTTCGAGAGTGACGGACAAAGCGGCGAATGAAGTTCGAGACGAAGTTCTTAGCCCTTTGATCGAGGTAGAGAGAAAGCGAGTGAGCGAGCGAGCGAGCGAGCGAGCGAGAGAGAGAGAAAGAGAGAAAGAAAAGAAACTAGAAAGGCACCTGGGATGCCACCGAGAGACCCCTGTTCCACGAGACGCAATCACCAAAGGTGTAATGAACCACATAAGGAACACACAACCAAGAGGAATATGGCAGCGGCAATTGCATAAGGGCCGTTGTTCGAGTGCGGCTTTACAAGCAAAAACCGTTGATTTGTTTTCGATCGGGTTTTAATTTTTTAATGAAATAATCTCACGACGCGCGAACACATATCACGTACGACCGTGCGCTCGCGCTCGCGCGCGCGCCCAGCGCGAGGATGTTGCGGGCGCAGCTGAGATTGCGCGGCAATATTTGCTGGGAGCCAACGGCACGACGTACGACGTATGTGCATATGATTCGCGGCAGTGTGTATCGTAAGTGCGCAGCATATGATAAAACCGACAGTCTAGCAGTGCGAGCGCCTCGGCGGCATTCGCGTCTTCACGCGGTGACCCTGACCGAGCCTCCGTGATTAAAAACCGGAATAAGTTGTTTAAATGTCCACTATATAAATGAAAGAGCCATAGTTGTTAAGGCGGTGGGTTCCGTCGTTCGGCCGAGTCGATTCGACCTCACATCGCACACGCGTTCGTCCTGGCCCCAGAGAGAGAACTTCGAGAGAGATGACGGCGGCGAGTCAACGGGAGAAACGTGCGAGAGACAGATACGACCGCGACAACACATTTGGCAGACCGGCAAAATTCCGAGGTTCCTGGCAGATCGAAACAATTCAGGTGGGCCGAGACAAATCCGATTTGGGAATTTGGCATCTAAATGTGACCGTTCGGCTGTCGAAATTCGATTAACTCTAGTCCATATTCTCGCCAGTTTTAACATCAAACGCGACTCCCCGATTCTTATTCCCGTCCCTCGAGGGAGGTGGCGTTTCACGCCAATAGGAATAAGAGTTGGATGCCACGTTTAGCTGTTGGATGCGAAAATGCGGACCTTTATCTCGGTTACCAAGCGGATGGGAAAGAAAAAGTAGGATACCATCGGGAACGGAGAGAGCATCCAGAGACTCTAAACCTTATGATCGATCGAAGTCGTGAAGAAGTAGCGACTGCCATGATCCCAAACAATCCACACAATTAATAACGGTCGACGGCGACGAGCGTGCGGACCCATCGCGCTGTCTCGTCACGGATAGATCATGCGAACGCCGAACATACCGGTCGCGCTCGATCGGCTCGATCGTATCGCGTGGTCTCCCCGTGGCGAGGCGATACTCTTTTCAAAATATTCTTCATACTTCCGTTCAGGAGAATGCGTTTCTTTCAACCTGAACCAGAGCAACCCCCCGCATGCGTGTCCGAGGTGAGAGGCCGAGTCCGTTTATTTGGCATTAAATTGAAAAAAAAACGAAGGGAACGAAAACGATAACCGCGCGAAAGACGGGTGAAATTGCGAATTTATCAGAGGCTGAATCGGCGTAGGAAAAATAAAACAGACGGGACACGAGAACGTGTGAGATGAACCAATACATTGTCCGCTGAGTGGGTGCCTTCGTCAGGGTTTTCCGTTACAGTAAACAGACAGTTCAAGTATAACTCACAATTAGTAGTGCTATAGTAGGACAGTAATCACAGTGTACCGCAGTTAAACAGTTAAATAAGTAAGTATACGGGAAGCACGTGGTCTTTTTCAGTGTCTGCAGAATCTCGTCGTGCACCATCTACCGTTAATCAGGTAGTGGAACGACCGGAAGTATACCGGATTAATTTCGTGTGCAACTTCCTACCGGAACCTCCCCCGTCCCGATCCACCGTTTGGCTAAGCGTTTATATCCCTCTAACCCAACTTTCGGACCTCGGACGACCGGCGCGAAAAGATTCGATCGTGTTATCGAGAGAAAACGTATCCTAGCGGCAAAATTAAAAGAGAGAAAAGAAAAGCAAAGCATCTCCCAACCTTACCAACCGGTCGCTCGCAACCTCTCCTTTCACGATTCAATCGACATTTAACAGATAAATATGATAATAAGTGTACTAAGTGTCTGTAGTTTAGCCAACGTGTACGTTGTATACTCTGAGATAGGCGCGAGAAAGCGAGCCGATGAGGATGATAGGACGCGAAGTGGAAGAGATAGCGGGAGAAAGGAGGAGAGAGATAGACGATTGCACGGTGGAGCCATATTTAACTAACTGATAACGATTAATTAATTACAGTAATCATTCAAGATGACTTAATTAACAGTTAACCGTACCGCATACACACATGAATAATTATTAATTACACGTACTCCAGTATATAAGTAAGGGCCGAGCGGTAGCGCCGCGCATACCGCGCGCACCGCCTCTATCAAATAAAGAAATCGCGAAGGCACTCACTACGGAGATCAACGAGCAGGGACTTTGGGACTCGGACGCGGATCGGAGGGTACCTGAACACGCGGGCCGGGATTCTCCAGATCGAAATTATCCGACGAGTATTCGACGCGAAAAAAGAAAAGGAAAGAAAGAGGAAAAACGCCAAGTGCTCGGCGAACTTTAGGAAGCCCGTCCGGCTCGTCCGACGTTGGACGATCAACTTGTTCGACTCCAGGACTGTTTCAGCCCGCTCGACTAGATCGCGACCGCAACGCGTGTTCAGGTGTCCCGCACCCCATTACTTTATCGGTCTTTCAAGTGCAACGTTGAGTTATTTCACTTACAGCGTTGTTTTTCTACACAATACAAAATACCCCACCACCTGTCCCCACCGGCGAACCAATCCACCTCATCACGCTCCCGCAGGAACAAAGCATCCCCTTCACCCACCGCCCCAACCACTCATCCCCCCCCCCCCATATACAATGTTGTCTCACGTCCGTTCGCAATAAACTTGGTTGCGAGTCCAGCGACAGCCGCGCTCCGTTCCTCGTTAGAGAAAATTAAAAGGGCGACCTCTTTCATTTTGAACACAAAAAATTGAGAAATTTGAGAATTTTGGAGCAGCGCTCGTGGAGATGTCGCCCACTTATTTCGGCATCCTCGAGAGGTGGTAAAAGTTTAGGAAATCGCTTACCAAAATACGATCGTGTTATTCTGACGGTGCATCTCGATAATGGAACGGATCGCGACTTGACCCCGACTCCGAAAAAAAAGCGAACGTTAAGTTTCTGAATTCAGACTTTTACGTAAAGTTAGTTACCGAGTAATACAGCGCAAGTTATCGTTAATTTTCGACGCGCAGCCTCGTCGCGACGAAAGGGCGACTTTACAAACGTGCAAACCACCTGCACGATCTTCTCGCGCCGAAGGGCGCGACGAGGATGCGCGTGCAGGTTTAATGGTATCGATTGAGTTTGGTCGAAGTCCCCTTTTGGGCAAACACACCGACGCACTTCCGGTCCCGCCGGCCAGCATCGTTCGACAGAAAAAAAAAGAAAGAAAGAAAGAAAAGGGGGAGGGAAACGATCTCGAGCCTCCGAGAAGATCGCGACTGAGAGGGAGCGATCCTCTCTCTCTGCGTTCGAAATTCAATTCTAGTCAAAAAAGGGTACAAAGCCGAGACGGGTGTCAACTCGGACAGGCGAAATCGGTACTTATTTAATACGAGGAGAAAGAAAGAGGGAGAAGAGAGAGAGAGAGAGAGGAAAGGGAGAAAGAGGGAGACTAGAGAAGGGAAAGGGGGAAAGATGGAAGGAGGAGGCTCGAGAGGGAGATACTTTCCATGGGATTGCGCGAGCGCGTTTGTCACCCCATCGCGCAGGGAAGAGACATAGGAGGAAATGAAAAAAGATTGGCGAATGAATTAAAAAAAAAGAAAGGAGAAGAAGGAAAATATGATGCTGGAGACGCAATCTGTGGAGTCGGCGGGGTGGCGGGACCGTACACGAGGAAATATCCGCGTTGCTGACAAAACGTAGCCTCTTTTCGTTGTGTCAAACCGCCGGCCAGGATCCGGGCCGATCCTTGTATAAGCAAAAACTACAAACTTTCAAAAAGTAAAAAAAAAAGATGAATGTACGGTGCGAATGGATCTTTCATGAAGCTTCGATTGTTGTTGTTCCGTCGAGTTTTTCCTTTTGCATATAAAAGTAACCCACCCTCACGCTTTCCCGGCGAGGCCGCCGGACGGGATCTCGCACGTACCTTTCGATCCGCTCGAAGAAAATCGAATCGTCGATCGGCGAAAAGCTTGGCAAGAGGTGAAGCGGAAAAGGATCGAGTCGAAAAACGTCGAGAGCCCGTCAAGCGAGCCCCAGCCTTTCGATACCGCGGTTAACCTACGATTATTATGATTACTATTAGTTATTAATTACTATTATTACAACGAGATTGCCCAGAGGGCAATTGGAGGCGTATTTTATAGAGATACAAAAGGGAGGGGAGAGAGAAAAAAAATCCAGGGAGCAATGCCTCGGTTGAAAGTTCGGATCGTCGAAGCCATAATATGTTACAAAATAATAATTCTTAAGTGAATCGACGAGAAGCGGTAGTAAGGGAAGAGAAGCCACGTTTCGAGATTCTCCTTTTTTTTTCCATCTTCACGCGGCTCCTTTTCTTTTTAATTGCACACATACACACACACACACACATACACACACGAAACACGCGTACACGCAAATCACACTAATTAAGTACTATGCGTTATTTAGCAAATAAATATTTATATACGAAAGTAGAAAACAGAACACGATACCGCGTTACGGAAATTTAAAATCCTCTCTTCCTTTATTATTATTATTATTATTACTATTATCGCTATTATAATAATAATAATTATTATCATTAGACAATTAGGCATCGAAATTTTATTGTTGTTAACGATCGCGCGAGATTGGTTTTCATTATGTTTGTTATTTTTTTTTTCTCTTTAGTTATGCGCGTGGTATCGCACGACTGAGAAAGACGGAGATGACAGAGGCGAATTGTCGTTAATTGAGATTTATATGTGTTTTTCTTTCCTACGTTTTTCCTTACGCCTTAGGTATATTCGAATTCGACTCTCGCTTTCTCGAACTTTTATTTTTTTATTTACTTGCGTATATATCGCGTACGCCGCGTAGAAGTTATTCAAATTTTACGTTCCTCCTTGTGCCCCCCCCCCTTTTTTTTACGTGTACCAGTGCACTTTCCTCGTTTAGAAGGCGAAGAGTACGGGGACTAATCTCGATCTCATTTTACATCGCGTATCCGACGTCGCCGCGGGGGAAAATCAAGCTCGTTCGAATCGACGAGTCGCGCGGATTTAATTTTGTTTCTTCCACGTCCCGTTATACGTACTCCTCAGTCGTCTCTTCGCAACGTTTTCGTTCGCCGAACCGCGACATTTTACTATTAAAGACCACGCTTTTAGTTCCCTACTAAGACGATTACACTTTCGGTCTCGCTACGAGAGAGTTCCTATTTAACGAGAGAAAAAAAGAACATAATAAATCGGCGGGGGACGACTCGGCGCCAGGGGAAAAGGGGGAAGAGGGAAAAGCGAGCGTGGCGCGGGGGAAACGCGGCGTTCGGCGAGCGAGCTCGTCGAGTTACGTTTGCTAGTCAGAATTGGTTTAAAAACGATGAAGCAAGCTAGAGATTTTTACGATTAGTTACTGCCTATTATTAATTAATTAGCCTGTTAAGCGTAGCCGTTACGTTAAAACGCGGCCCCCACTCTCGAGCTGCACTCGTCCTGAAAAGTAAAGTAGGTCAGCCTGTACACGCGCACGCACACACATACACGTACAACGCAACGGTATACAAACTACGGTTCTTTAGTTACTATTCACGTAGACTTTCGAGTGGTCGATTTATGAAAATTAATTGCAGTCCGCCGAGACGTAGGTCATGTTTAAATTTAAGTCGATAACTCCGTTCTTATTTTTGTTACGATCTACCTTATTCTCTTTTTTTTTCCTCTCATGCCTTAGACGCATACACTCACGCAGGCTTGCAACCTGCCGCAACTATTACATAATAGTAGTGCCAACACACTACCGTCACTCCTATTATTACACCTACTGCTACCGCTATCGCTAGGAAATGTTAGTACATCGCTATTATTATTATTATATTATGTTATATATTATATGTTATTATAACAATATTAATTATTAATATTATTATTATATTATTCAGCATTGTATGTATTAGAATCCGTGTTGTAAACTGTTCTGTCCTCGTTCGCGTATGGTACGTTAGGTAAAATCGATGTGATACATGTCTAGTTTCCCTTTGTGTCAATTCGACCGTGATTAATTTCCTTCTTCACATCCTTTTTTTTCGTTTCGTAATTCATCTTTCGTACACGTTGGGTTCCTCGCGCGCGCGCGCGATCACGCGCGACCGACGACGGCTTCTTTTGCCTAAGAGAGAGAGAGAGAGAGAGGCGGGATAATATGTGTCGAATCTTTAAAATACGCTGACGATTGTCACATGGAGTTTAGGACACGTGCATTTATTAAATTTTATCGTTACCTACTATTATACCTTGTCGAGGAAATACCGGGCGTACGAGCGCGCTTTTAAACTCGCAAGCAACGGAGGATGCTCGTCGAAGTCCTCCCTGTTTATCGCACGATGTATCGAAATTTTGGACATGCGTTGAAGCGAATTCGATACTTCGGAATATTTCGGACAAATGCACAAAAATATATGTGTGTGTGTTCCGCAGTGAAATTAGTTATATTGATCTCGATACAACGCGCTCGTACACCCGGCGATATTCGTTATTAATTAACGCTATTAGTTATTATCAGTTACTGCAATTAGTACTATTGCCACTATTATTAGTTATCGCTATCGACTCTTGATGCGTCCCTTTATTGTCGATCGGCGAGATAACTATTTCGATTGCCCTCTCCGTCTCGAACGCGCTTCGTACAGTATTGCCGCACTAATTATTTATTCGCATTAATAATCCACCCGTTGATAATTGAATTCATTGTCGTTAATAATTAACATTCGCATTTGAGATTAATTCGAAATTAGGATCTCTCGAAAGTGAAATACGCATTTGTGGTTACAGAAAAATGACGACGATTCCGGTTTGCACGCAATTCGTTCGTCGTCTCGTGCGACGGTAAAGCGGCGAAATGTTGGAAACTAATCGCGCAATCGTTGCATTTCGATCGTTCGAAAATTGTTTCGCCAAAATAATGCGCGGCAACACCGAGACGCGGGGGTTAACCGGCCGAGACGGGGAGCGGTGTGCGCGATTTGAGATGTTTCGATGGAGGATTAGTGTCCGTAAGGTGCGATGACGAGCTAAAGGGACCAGAAATCACGACGAAGAGCGCCGCAGCGAGTGGAGCGATTCTTCCCCTCGCTGGTCGCTCTGGTCGCGTTCTGGTTGCAATTAGAGAAGCTATGGGATCCTCAACGCGCGCCAAGCGTCGCGAGCTACGTACATACAATTTCGAATTTCGGAAATAATTGACGCGCGAAAAGTACGGAAATAAAAAAGCTATCATAAAGTAGGTACTATGTAGCGAGAGAGAGAGCGAGAGAGAGAGAGAGAGAGCGAGAGAGA